AAGCATAAGGGGAAAACAATCAAGCACAGACGCCGTCGAGGAAGAAGGACCGAAAAGGTGTGCCAAGATGGACGAGATGACGAGTCACTTAGAAAACCCTTCCTCTTTTCCGCAACATCACCACCAAAAGAAAGGGAAACCCCAACCTCCGAACCAATAGGAACAATCAAATTCTCGGACCTAGAAGGATCAGAACTAGTTCGAACCACTGCTGAACCAGAAGGAACCGCACTTGAACCAGCTCAAACCATTGTTGAATCGAATGGAACCAGACATAAACCGGATCGAACCACCTCTAAAGAGCGAACTAGCCCTAAATCAGCACAAACCACCTCTAAACCTGAGGAAGAAATCGGTATTGACCTATGAGCATCCACCTCAGAACCCGATAAATCAACCTCCAAACTAGATCGTCGACCTACATCATCCGGCCCATGCAAAGTTGACCTAGGTTTGTTCCCCACCGCCAAACCGATTACGACGCTGCGAGACACCACAGTCGACACTGGAGAATGACACATCATTCTAAAAGGGCCACTGTCTTTAACCTACTTATGATCYTGCATGGCCATTACAAGATTATCAAAAAACGATCGACTATCGTACGSCACATCGGAACCTACCGGCCAAACTAACCATCGCCTGTGTTAGGTGAAATTTAATCCGACCAAGTTTGCCAAAAGCAGAGCACCGCTTGCCGTCCGTTTGAAAATTAAAATAAGCCAACTGAATCAACTGATCACCGTTGGCCGTCTGAAAATTAAGATCGAAGACTGCCTGCCAAAAACTTAAGCACTGAAAAAAAAAATAGAAGAAATCCTTGAAACTGGAGCACTTTAAAAAAAAAAAGGAAAACCCCGAGCACTGCCACAAATGCGCACTTATTTGGTCGACCTTGTTTTCATTTCTAAAAAAAATCGGACGTGGCACCAATTGAGCGCCACGTCTGTAGGAGAAGACGACCTGTGAATGACCATCTATTTTCGACGACCATTTACTTTACAAACATTATTCTTAGAAATAGTTTGGTTAGTGTTAATTTTTTGGAATAAATTTAAAAAAAAACATTATTCGAAAAAATCTCATCCAACTTTATGTGTATATTTTATTAACGACTCGTCACTTTTACTTTCTTTTTCTAACATATTTCTCTCTTTAATTTACATATATTTTCCAATTTATCAAATTCTTGGACTCTTTTTTTTATTAATCATATTTTATTTTAAACTTATTTCAAATATATATGACCCACCAAACTATTTCCAAGAATAATGCTTGAAGAGACAACCTATGCTACTTCATGCTAGCGCCATGTGTTTTTTTTTTAATTCTGGCATTTCGTCTCGTGACGAGATGCAAATGCCAAATTTGTACTTCTTTTTTTTGCAAATACCAAATTTATATGTATTTATTATTCTGCTGCAGTGGTTGTGCACCCACTTTTTAATCTAGAGGCCTTGAGTTTAACCTCCGCTATAACTGCTAATCATAAAAAAATGAAATGATTACAAACGACTTTATCCAGGTCGTTCGTGTAGAGACATGCGAATGGGGGTATCTTATACAATGACCACAAAATAATTAATCTTTAGCTTTAACACTGTTAGCTAATAGATTAATATTTCAATAAGATGACCAGGTAACTTGATCTCAATCCTGAGTGAGTTATGGACTTCTGTCTGTTAGGGTCGTCCTTTGATTTGTATTAGTGAGAGTGGCTCAAGTCGCCGACTCAACATTCCTACTATTTTGCGAACAAGACCGAGTGGGGAGCTGAGAACATAACTCCACAAGATGGAATTTCACTCCTCCCGTCTTTGAGAGAGTAGATGAGTGTTCCCTTTAATGATGACTCTAGAACTTGAACAAGGGAAACCCTCTCACTGGTCCAAGAGAGACTTTYGGTTATTGGTCGGACCATAACTGGGTTATTCATTAGGGGATCAGCGGTACTTAAGGTACATGATGTAACACAGGGGTAAAACGGTAATTTGACCCAGTTGTGGTTACGAACACTTGGTGAAGRATTGACTTGCAGTTAATGGTCGATATTCGTTGACACATAAATATTCTATAGTGAGAAGAGTACATCTGCGGATTTTTAGTGGATTAACCCGCAGTTAACATATGTTGATTAAGGTGGTTAATGAGTTTAATCAATTAATCTCATAGCRTTGGAACTTTTGATCTATAAGCCTATTAGGTCCCCTTGCTAGTTCGTAAAGGTAATTAAGAACATTAAGTCTTGGAAATAATTTGATTTTTTCAAATTTAATTACAGGGAATTTGAGTTAATTGTATATGACACAATTAATATAATGTATGATGATGCATTATAAAACTATATAGTATCAGAGAATAATGTTAATTGGATTCATATTAAAACTATAGGTTAAAATTTAATGTGAATTAGATTCATATTAAATACTGTAAATTAGGAAGGAAATGTATATTTGAAWATGATTCAAATTTAATTAAATGAGATTTAATTGATTATGTTTATTTAWTTAATTAATTAAATGATATTTATTAATTATTTATTAAATTAAAATAGTTTTAATTTAATTTATTTATTTATTAAATTAAATAAATTGAATATATATATATATATTAATTAAGTTAATTAATTACATTATAGTTAACTAATTCACCACTCCCCACCAATTTTRCTCGGAAATGGTGATGTGGAGAGTGGGAGGTCTCTCTCTTTCCTCACTCATAAAAAACACAAAAAGTTTAGTGATTTGATTGATTCTTGAAAAACGTTTTACATAAAAAATAAAATCTCTCTCACCATCAAACCAACTTCAAAATTTCCCTGTAATTTTCCTTTCTAGGACGATCCCACGATCCAGGTTCTTTTCTTCTCCCGTTGACTAAGAAACTTACTGCGAGACAGCATAGGAAGATGGAAACAACCACCTATACTGGTTGTTGAGAAAACTCAATGAAAGTAACGACCATTACTGGTTGCGTAGAAAGGGCTGGAATGAGAACAAAGAGGGAAGAAATCGACTTGATTCTGTGGAATTTGAAAGGGTTTGAAACAAATCAAATGGAATGGAGAGAGAAATTTCCTATAATGAACGGATTTAAAATCCCTTTTATTTAGGGATATTTCATTTAAACCACCAACGATCAATTTTTTGTTTTTTGTTTTTTTGTGTTTATTATTTATATATTTAAGAGCCCAAATTAGTCAAATTTTAGAGGGGTTCTATACTATTTGGGCAAATTTTGAGACAAAAGTGTAAAATTTTAAACATTAGTTCATTAGTGTAATTTAAATCTCCATCTAGTCTAGTAGTTTACTTTTCCCTTAGCATATTGTATATACTAAGGGTGTGTTTGAGAGTGATTTTGATAGGATCAAAATCACTTTTTCCATTGGCAAAATCACTTTTCTTTTCATTGATCATGTTTGACAAATTAAAAAATTGATTTTAGTAAAGTTTAAAATCACTACAAATTGATTTTTAAGGTATCATGATTTTAGAAAATCAATTATATATGAATCTCTTCTTTCAAAATCACTAATTCTACCATCACTCCCAAACACACCCTAAAAGTGCATCATTCATTTAATAAAAACAAAATAATAGTAATGACCAAAATAGTTATTTTTAAAGAAAAAAAATATTTTAAAAATTTAGGGATCGGAATGAAATGAACTTAAAAGTTCAATGACTAAAATAGACATTTTAAAAGTTAAAAGACAAAGATAGAATAATCTTGAAAGTCCATTCAAATTAATTATCAAGTAAATTTGATCCATTGAAATTTTGTGGTTAAAATCAAGCTAAATATATGAGTCCTAATGTTTGAGAGTTTTTCCAATTTAGTCCCTATTTTTTCAAAATTTTAATTTGATCCTTTTTTTAACATTTTTCAATTTAGTCCCTCACATTGGTAAACTTTAAAATTAGCTTAGGATAAACTTACATGGTATAATATTTATTGATTTGATAGACAAATAAAAATATCAAATATGAAAAAGGAGTTTCTAATACATCCTCCAAATTTCTAAGCAACTCGTATAATTTTAGAGAATTATTCTCTCGTCGATTCACTAAATATTATGTAATTAGGTAAATTTATCATCCTCCCATGTTAATATTGGCCAATTTTGAGAAACTAGGTTGGTAAATGTAAAAAAATAAGGCATGAAATTAAAACTTTTTAAACAATGGGCCGCACCAAAAAACTCTCAAACGTGAGTAATTAAAACATATATGTCTTTTTTTTTTCCTTTTTTTTAACTAAAAATACATTATGGACAATGTTGTGAATCTAAAATTATCTTATAGGAGAAGAATTTAGTTACTGTAATTTTGACCCTAATCGTGGTTCATTAGTTCAGAAGGGCCAAGCTAAATCAAAACATTCATAGCAAATAGAAATGGGTCCAAATTGTTATCTCTACTAGTTAGAAACCGTTATATTTATTTGTTATATTGTTATATTTGTTATTAGTCTGTTATAGTTTGTTATTGTCTCCACTCACGGTATATATATATCCTATTGTTAAAGCTTAAAGATATGGGATATTGATTTTATCTTTCAACCCTTYGCATTAAAAGTTCTCATGGTATCAGAGCAGGTATGACATCTGTCTTCTAATTCCTTTTCCATGTGTCAATAACCACTTCCTGAAATTTATCATTATTGACCTTCGTCAACCAGCGCAAGGGTTTTCAATCTCCTCTGTCCTCGATTTTCAAATCATGGCTTCTCTTCAACTTGAGAAAGACTTGAATTCACCGATTTTTCTTCTATCGAACATCTGTAATTTGATTTCGATCTGGCTCGATTCTACAAATTTTGTTTTGTGGAAATTTCAACTCATGGCTATTCTAAAAGCTGACAAGCTTTTCGGTTATGTTGATGGATTGAAACCACCTCAGGAGAAATTTCTTCCTTCCACAACATCTGGATCTGGATCGTCGTCTCAATCTGTTAATCCCGCCTATGAAGATTGAATTGCACGCGATCAAGCTCTCATGACACTAATAAATGCTACTTTATCTCCATCTGCCCCAGCATACGTTGTCGGCAGTACCTCTTCGAAGGAAATTTGGGACACTCTGGAGAAGCATTATTCATCAAGCTCACGCACTAATGTTGTTAATCTCAAATCTGATCTTCAATCCATATCCAAGAAAGTCGGTGAGTGTATTGATGATTATGTAAAACGTATCAAGGAGGTTAAGGACAAATTAACAAATGTCTCTGTAGTTGTCGATGATGAGGATCTGTTAATTTACACTTTGAATGGTTTACCGTCTGCGTATAATGTCTTTCGCACATCTATGCGTACTCGGTCTCAATCCGTTACTTTTGATGAACTTCATGTTCTTATGAAATCGGAGGAAGTTGCTTTGGACAGGCAGGTGAAACGAGATGATTTGTTTTCTCAAAATACTGCTCTCTTTGCAGTTCCAAATCCATCTCACATGGCTCCTGTTTATAACTCAAATAGCTCTCGTGGTAAAGGAAATCAGGGTCATGGTCGTACTATTGGAAATCAAGGCCGTGTTCGATTTTATTCTACATCCTAGCATCCGAATTTGAATCAAGGGCGTGGTGGCAAACATGGTTTTCCTCAAGCTAAAAGTCGAATTCCTTGTCAAATTTGCCACCGTTTAGGCCACACTGCCCTTAATCGCTTCAACCGGATGAATTATAACTATCAAGGACGACATCCACCAGCTCAACTCGCTGTCATGGTGGCCTCACAAAATCTTGCTGCTGTTGCAAGACCAAATCATTCACCGACTGTCATTTTTCCTGCTCATCAGCCCTCTGGTTTTCCTGCTCTGGCTTCCTCTCAGTGGCTTGCCGATTCTGGATGTAACACCCACATTACAGCTGATCTATCCAATCTGTCTGTCGCTTCTGAGTATAGTGGAGATAATCATGTTTCGGTTGGTAATGGTCAAAATCTTCCAATTTCTCACACAGGTCATGGTCTTCTTCGAACTCCTTCTTCTGTTTTCTCCTTATCAAATCTTTTTTATGTTCCTCATATCGCAACAAACCTTCTTTCTATCCATCAACTTTATTTCGATAATAATTGTACTGTTCTCTTTGATACTGACTATTTTCTTGTTCAGGACAAAACTATGGGGCAAAATTTTGTACCAAGGCCCTAGTGTCAATGGCTTGTACCCCTTCAATTCTGCTTCTGTTGATTCTTCTTCCATGTCTTCTACTCCTACTGGTCTTACAGCTCATGTTGGTGCACATTCCTCTTATGATCTTTGGCATATCGGTTAGGTCATCCTAGCCTCCCTACTCTTTAACTCTGTTTTTCAGTTACTTCAATTACCTACTATTTCTTCTGTAAAGCATGATTGTGAGTTCTGCTTGTATGGCAAAATGAAGAAGTTGCCTTTTCCAATTTCTCATTCTGTGTATTCCTCACCTTTAGAGGTTATTCATACTGATGTATGGGTCCTGCCCCTGAATTTTCTGTTAATGGGTACAACTATTATGTCTCTTTTATTGATGATTTTACCAAATATACTTGGCTTTTTCCAATAGTTCATAAATCTGATGTCTGCAACATTTTTCAAACTTTTAAGCCTCTTGTTGAAAATTTACTATCCTGTAAAATTAAAATTCTTCGTAGTGATGGAGGGGGTGAGTTTATAAATCACTCTCTTCATTCCTATCTCAATTCTCATGGCATTCTTCATAAAAAAATCATGTGCACACACCCGAACAAAATGGTGTGGCTGAACGCAAACACCGTCACATTGTTGAAATGGCCATTTCCCTAATGACTAAGGCTTCTATTCCTATTAAGTTCTGGTCATTTGCCTTCTCTGCTGCTGTATTCCTTATAAATCGTTTACCATCTCCTTCCTTAGCTCATAAATCTCCTTTTGAGTGTCTCTTTCGTCGTCTCCCTGATTATTCTCATCTTAAAACGTTCGGTTGTGCCTGCTATCCTCTTTTAAAGCCATACAATTCACATAAACTTCTACCCAAAACGTCGAAGTGTGTCTTTCTCGGTTATCCCTTAGATTATAAGGGTTATTTGTGCTACAACATGAGCTCTCACAAGTTCTATACCTCTAGACATGTTCATTTTGATGAATCTTCTTTTCCTTTCTCTACTGCTACTTCCCCTGCTACTTCCTTTTCCCCTTCTTCTCCTTCTCCTATTTTACCTCTTCTCTTGTCTACTTTATCATCTCTGTCTAGCCCTTCCGCTGTTTCATCATCTTCTTCTCCTACCTCTCCCTTAGATTCTTCCACTGCCTCTGATTCTGATTTCTCCACTCATACTCAAGCTACTGATTTCGGGCTGTCTTGTCCACATCCACCAACACCAGTTTCTTTGGTTGATGCATCACATACTGTACAATCTGTTGTTCATGGTTATGCTGGTATTTCTTCCTCTGTTGTTGACATGAATACACCAACACCAACACCTATTCCTAGTTGTGTTCCACAGTCCACAAATATCCATCCAATGCAAACTAGAAGCAAATCAGGGATATCTAAAAAAAAGGTTTTTTTTTGCTCACTCTATCATTCCTGAGACTGATGAACCTTCCTCTTACTCTAAGGCCTCTCAACTTGCCATTTGGCAACAGGCCATGAAGGAGGAATTTGATGCTCTTGTTAGGCAACGAACTTGGGAACTTGTTCCTTTACCTATTGATAAGGTTGCAATTGGTTGTAAATGGGTGTATCACATCAAACAACACCCCGATTCTATTGCTCGACATAAAGCCTGTTTGGTAGCAAAATGGTATCAACAAGAGGGTATTGACTATGATGAAACCTTTAGTCTTGTTATCAAAAAGCCTATTGTTCGTATCATTCTTTCATTAACTGCTCAATATGGTTGGAGTCTTCGTCAACTTGATGTTAAGAACGCCTTTTTACATGGAGAACTTAATGAAGAGGTATATATGCAGCAGCCTCAAGGGTTTGTTAATTCCATGTATCCTAATCATGTCTGCAAATTGATTAAATCTTTTTATGGATTGAAACAGGCTCCTCGTGCCTGGTTTGACTGTTTTACCTCATATCTCCTTACATTAGGCTTCATGGCTTCCTCTGCCGACTCATCCTTGTTTGTTCATCAATCGACTGGTTCATATACATACTTGTTACTCTATGTTGATGATATTATTGTAACAGGGAATAATCCATCTTATATTGATGGTCTTATTTCTCAACTTCGTATGCATTTTGATATGACGAATCTTGGTGGTGTTACATATTTTCTTGGTTTGGAAATCTCTCGCTCTACCAATGGTATTCATGTCTCTCAAACAAATTATGCTCGGGATCTTCTCTCTCGTTTTGGTATGGTTGCCACAAAGCCTTGTCGTACTCCTTTTGTCTATAAAGACTGTTTTTTATGCTACTCCTCTGTGTTCAGTTGCTGATGCTCATAMTTATAGAGCTATTATTGGGGCTCTTCAATATTTTACCTTCTCAAGACTTGATATTGTTTTCTCTGTTAGTCGACTCTCTCAGTTTATGCACACTCCTTCCTTACCACATTTATCTGTAGCTAAGCGTGTCTTGAGATATGTTGCCGGTTCTCTTTCCTCTAGTTTACTTTTTCGGAAGGATGTTTCTGCTTCTTTGAATCTTATGGCCTTTTCTGATTCTGACTGGGCTGGGGATCCATCTGATCGGCGCTCTACAACAGGATTTGTTGTTTTTCTTGGGCCTAATCCTATCTCTTGGGTGGCTAAAAGGCAAGCTACTGCTTCCCGCAGTTCAACGAAAGCCAAGTATCGTGCTCTTGCATCCACCGCAGCTGAATTGTTTTGGCTTCGACAGCTTCTAAAGGATATTTGCCTTGTTCTTTCTCAGCCTCCTTTAATATGTTGCGACAATCAGTCGGCTATCCAGTTGGCTCGAAATCCGGTTTTCCATGGGCGTACGAAACATGTGGAGATCGATTTTCATTTTGTTCGGGAGGAGGTTATTCGGCGTGATATTTCTCTTCAATATGTTCCTACTTCTTCTCAGCTCGCTGATTTACTAGGCTCTTCAATATGTTCCTACTTCTTCTCAGCTCGCTGATTTACTCACCATCAGTGGTGATCGTTTTAATTTTCTGAAGTCCAAACTCATGCCCTCTTTCTTAGGCTTGGTTTGAGGGGGGATGTTATCTGTACCAGTTAGAAACGGTTATATTTATTTGTTATATTGTTATATTTGTTATTAGTCTGTTACAATTTGTTATTGTCTCCACTCACTATATATATATATCCTATTGTTAAAGCTTAAGATATGGGATATTGATTTTATCTTTCAACCGTTTGCATTAAAAGTTCTCACAAATCTCATGATTGACACCTTGACAACCAAATGTAGTAGCGTCAAGCTCTCGTTAACGCAAGTTGACCAAAACACTCACTACCAACTGATAGTGTACTTTATAAACCACATTTCATGTCATTCAGGTGGGAATCATTTGGCAAATTTTGACTCTTTATGGCTTATTTACGTACATAACTGATGTTTTTACTGGATCGAGCCATTAGAAAGAATTGGAGCATAAACGATCAATTGAGAGGAAAACTTGAGCAAAGAGGAGAGGTTAATTCAGCCACATTAGTGCCGTAGCGCCAGCATACAGCGCCATGGCGCCTGTAGGCCATAATTGAGAGTAAAATTCCGAATAAACAGCACCACAGCGCCATCAAGCAGCGCCATGGCGCCTGCAGACGAAACTTAGGCTTTCTTCTATGATGACAGCACCGCAGCACTATCTTGTAGCGCCATGGTGCTACAAACTTTGCGTGTCCGTCACAATTCTGGGACAGCGCCATGTCGCTCACTAATGACGTCATGGCACTGTAGCGATGTCATTTCATAAATAAAAAATTAGTGTGTCGTTTTGGGGGACATTTGGACATTCTTACATTGAGAATTGAAGTTTTGAAAGGTTATGCTCGTGAGTCGAAGCAATGAGGGCGAGGAGACAATTTTTGAAGGTTTGTGATCGTAGAGATTGAGTCAGGGACGGTCAATCGACACAACGACTTTAGTTTCTCTCATTTCTCTTATCTTTTCTAGATTTATTATGAAATTCTCAGTGGGATTTTGTTGTATTTTTATGAACATGAGCAGCTAATTTTCTTGTTCTAGAGATTGATGTAGTCGCTGAATTTATGTGTTGGATTTATTAAAAATTGTCTTTATTGATGTATTCTTAATTTATTTGTGCATTTATTTGCTTAATGTCTTTAATCTCTTGATCACTCATTAATTGATGTTAAATCTGAATCTTACGCTTGGGAGAGGTGGTTTAGATTGGAACTTGAATGTATGACTGGGGTAGTTCTAAGATCACGAGATTTAGAATTACTTTAGAGGTTAAAATAGTGAGCTTGGGATATATCACTTGCCTGCATAGGGTTAGACTGCACTGCTATTTATAGCTGTGAGGGTGGTTCCAGAACCTTCTGTAGTTGAGCCCTAATTCGGAGTTACGAGGCCTAATGATCGGCCTCGGCCCCGAATAGATGTGTTTAACCTCCTGATGTAGATCCGAGCGGAGGAGGCTCACATGGTATCT